AAGGAGCAGCAGCAGCAGCTACAAGATGGCTTAGATCACTGAATCACTGCATAGAGGAAACATTTACTATCCTAAAAGAACTGCCTTATGTCGGAAGCAATGCTATACAATTTTAGGGAAAAATCATTCGATTAGGCCTAGTTCTCCTGCCTACAGGCCAGCTATGGCATTTTGAGACATAATTCCATTTTGGCCCCCCCGGTCACAACTGAGACCTCAATGATCCGGTGATGCTGTGATGCTCCAGGACAAGATTACACCAGCTGAAGACATCCTGGGAGGAACAAAATCTTCATCTACTCAGTTCCTCATTGTTCTTGGATTGTCACACTTTGTTTCTCCCGATGTACTGAACTCTCTGTCCTGAGTCATTTGTTACATCTGTTTCTCCTGATGTGCTGAATAAAAGGTGTGGTAAGCTGGGGGCTTTCATCTTTGCCTCCCAGAGCAGCACTGATCAGACCCAAAGCTCAGCTTCTTCTCCAAGTCTCATTTTTCTACATTTCCTGTATGATAAGTTAATTCGCCTTGTGCTGCTGTGGCTCCCAGGAGACTAGGACTCACTGCAGAGGTTCTAGTAACGTCCCCTTTCCTTGTTCCCTACGGCCTTAGACTGTGACCCACCATATATTTAGGAGTCTATCTGTTACTACCTTTGCCAACACTGTGTACATTTGCCAATTAATTACTATCTTATTACTACTGTCTTAACTTTGTCCATCAACATACACCGTATGTGTGTGTATGTGAGGAAGGGAGGGAGAACTGGTGACTGTGAACCCAGTGATGCTCTATTACTGCACTATATCCCCAGCTCTTTTTATTTTTTGAGACACGGTCTCACTAACTTGCCTAGATTGGTCTCAAACTCACAATCCTCCTGCCTCAACCTCCTGAGAAGCTTCTATTACAGGAGTGTGTGACCAGTAATATAGCAGAAGTGAAGATATGTTGTTACTGAGATTAGGTTATAAAAGACTGCAGCTTTTGCCTCGGGCTGTCTCTCACTTTCTTCAACATCCACTGTGAGGGAAGCAATTTACCATGCCATGGGGACCCTCAGGCATCCTACAGAAAGGGTCATGTGGTGAGGAAATGAAGTGTCCAGACAACAGCCAATGAGGAACTAAGACCTGCCAACAATCACGTGAGTGATCTTGGAGTCAACCTCACAGACTTCAGATGACTGCAGTGTCAGCTGACAGTTTGACCACAAGTTCACGAGAGACCCAAAACCAGAACCACCCCATAATTACTTTGATATTCCTGACCCATAGTGACTTTGAGATAATAAATGCTGTTTTACACTGCTAAATTTTGGTGTAATGCAGCAATAGAAAATCAATACACTCAATTTCATTAGTCCCCTACTGGCTGTTCTTTTCAGATTCCTTTACTGATTCCTCCTTCTCTTTTAACAAGTCTCTAAATGTTGGAATATTTTAGGGTCCAGGCCTTGGTTATCTTCTCTTGGCCTGCTGTATTTCTCACCCTATGAATTTAAATATCATCTATATGCTTTATCTCAGGCCAGAACTCTCCTAAGACCTGTAGATGTACTCATTCAACTTCATACCTTACCTCTCTACTTAGAAGTTTCACACACATCTCAAATCTAACAGATTCAAAATGTGATTCTTCCTTTCCTTCCTTTTCCCAAAGCTCTTTCATTCTTTTCTTCCCTACTACTCTTTCCAATCTCCCTAATTATAATAGCATTAAAATGTATCCAGTTAATCCATATAAGCAAAGTGCTCTTTATCTTTTAGGTCTTCACCTAAATGTCATATCTTCCCAAGGATGTTCCGTAAAGAAACACTCTCTATACAGCAAGTCTTCCTCTTTTATTTTTGAATACTTCTTTTTGATATCAGACTTTGTAAATACCATGTCTGTTTACACTTGTTTTATTTCTGTCCTTGAGAAGAGTGTCAGTTACACCTTATCTCTGCTACATTTTGAGTTCCAACAGAGAAGTAGAAAGGATATCTTCTTTTGTGGTCCTATAATATCTAGATTATAGCTATTTAATAAATCAGTGGTTCTCAAACTTCAGTGGGTATGCCCATCCCCACAGATTTTGTTTCAAGTGTGTAATGAGACTCAATGTCTATTTTAAGATAAGGTCATTCTCATGAGGTCAATCTTTTATCACTTTGAGAAAAAAAAAATCCACCCATATTAGAGCTGGTCAATATCAATGGTTATTGTTAAGTAAATAATTCATCATCCCTAGGGTGCTGGAGAGCAAAGGGTTACTACAGTCCTCTTTTCTCCCTATAAGGCTTTGCAGTTCATTACATTTGGATATTACCATTGGTTCAGCACTTTGCTTATGTGGGTTTTATTCTCTGCTTCTGAGATAAAAATTTTTAAAATTTTCTTGGGAGAACTGAGCTTTGGGGCTCTTAGGGAACAGATAAATATTTGCTGGCAACCAGGTAACCACTTTAAAGAGGGAGATATTCTTCTAAAACCTCTTTTAAGGAAGAAATGATTTTTGAGGAATTTAATCATAATTCCATTATCTCATTTTAGGAAACTTTCCTCTCTCTTCTTTAGTAGTTATAATAAACAGCAAGCTGGCATAATTACTGGGAAAAGATTTATGAAAACTTTGAAATAATTACATGTTCCATTTATTGTGTTGATCTGTCTGAGAAAGATGCACACTAACCTTTGAGAAATTAGGAATAATGGTTAACCCTTTATGTATGCTGGGGATTGAACCCCCAACCTCATACTTACTAAGCACATGCTCTACCAATGAACTATACCCCAGCCCTAACAGTCACTGTTGATTTTATTTTTTCAAATGGAAAGATGAAAACTAAGGAATAACATTATAATATGTAATTCATAAATAAATAATTTTTGTATATTACTGGGATTGAACCTAAGGCCCTCATACAGAGTTATATCTCCAGCTCTTTTTTTGAGACAGGGTCTTAAGTAGCTAAATTTCCCAGGCTGGGCTCAAACTTGCAATTCTCCTGCCTCAGCCTCCTGGAGTGCTAGGATTACAGGCATGCATCATGCCTGGCATGAATAAACAATTTTATTGGTAATTTTAAATCTTAAAAAATTAAAAACTCTACATTCAGGAATTAAAGTATACCACGTGGGAGAGCACATGTGAGGATCTGGGTCCTATCCCCAGCAAAACACACACACACACACATACACGTGCACACACACACCCCACAAACACACACACACATCAAAAGATCCCCATTAAAACACAACAAAACCCTCTACATCTTAATCAAGTAAAAGGGGATAAAGACAGGAAAAAACTCAACTTGTGCTCACCAGCAGGAAATGAAATAGATTAGGCAAGAGGAGCCATTTGTTTCATTCACAACTGAAAAAAGCCAGGTCATTTCGAAAATCGTCCTCTGTAAGTAAGACCTGCTTCTATTAAAAACTGACATGTTGTTCAAGGTTCTTGTTGGCAAAAACCAGAAACTGACTTATCTAGAATTTACTAGAAGGATATTCGCTCAAAACATTAATGCATAACAATCAAGATTTTTAAAGAAAGGTGGGAGCAAGACTGGACATGGGATTGAGGCAGGAGGATTTCAAGGCCAGCCTAGAATAGACAGCGAGACCTTGTGTGTGTGTGTGTGTGTAGGTATGAATCCACTTTCAACATATTTACAATTGCAAAGGAGGACTTAAGATAACATCCTACCCTGTAGGTACTCCAGTCAGATGTTGGTGTATTTTGAATAAATGGATTAACAGTTGTTAGCTCATATATGCAGATTAGCATATTTGTATTGGGCCACCAATGTTTTTTTCTTTTAACATATTCACTCAACAAATATTTAGAGAGCATCTAATTATTAAATGCTTTGCACCTATCAGTGTGCAACACAGGTCAAAGATTCCAGCTTTCACTTTCTCAGGGTTCTGGCAGGGTGAGGGGCAATGTAGATACAAAACTCCTAGAATTCAGGTCATGAAATGAGGTTCTTCCGTTTGAGCTAGTAAAATGGATTTCGAGAAGAGAATGGCCAAAGCGGTGTTCATTCAGAACCAATGCCTCATACTGGCTTTAACTGACCTAAAACTGATTGCTAATTATAACTCTGGAATCCTTCAAAGTAGCTACCATCCTAAAAGATCAAAATGATAACAGTTTTAGTTCCTCAGGAAGAAATTGCACCTAAGAAATTCATAGGAAATGCGCTATTTTTTTCAAATTCAATTCAAATCTAACGTGGCTGGTCTACTTGGGATTTAGTAATTCTGGCAGGTAAAGGGACACAGTGTCCCTCAGCCAGTGCAAGTGCCCGGTGGTTCCAGGTGGACAGCTTCACTGCTTCGTGCCCTTTTAAAAAAAATGTCTTCGCCAACCTCCCTAAAGCCCTAAGGGGAAAAAACGCTTTAGCAACGTCGCAAGAAGCATCTTATGACCCCAGCTTTCTAGGCAGTCCAACCAGCTTCCCACCACTGAGCGTGAAATCTTTTTATCAGACGCCAGTCAGCAGAGGAACTGCGAAAGTGGCCATTTCCGACTAAGTGCGTTTAGCACATTTAACAGCAAAGACTAACGCCGCATCCAGGAGTCCCAAAGAAACGCGGCGCTTCCGGGCGGAGGGATACGCAGGACTTTGACTGCACCATCCCTGGACTTCCGGTCTTTTCTGGCGTATGGTTCTTTTTGTTTCTGGCCTGGTCAGGGCCAGTCCCACAAAAGGAATGGGCCAGACTACAACAGAAAGCGGGGCGATAGTAAGGTCTAGATTGAATCCTCTCAAAACAAGTTAGTTACACCGAAGAAGCCCACGGCCGAACCAAGCTACCTCTGCCCACCAATACCACCCCTCCCCCTTCTGTCAGCCGCTAGCGAGGCGGAGGCGGCCGTTACGGACTGGAGGGCGGAGACGCGACTCCTTCGCGCGAGACCAGCCACGTGATTTCCCAGGAAGCCTCAGGCAACATCTTGGAGCTGGGTAGTGGAGCTGGGAGGAAAAGTGGGTGGGGCCTGCCGAGCTATTTAGTGGCACCCGAGGCCCCGCCCCAAGCCGGAAGTGACGGAGGCGAGCTAGCGAGTCGTAGCTACCTCTATGGTTTTCCTCTCGTTCTTGAGTCGGGAAATGGCCGCTGTGTAGTTACGACGGAGCTAAATCCCGGGAACGGCTGTTCGTTGTGTCAGGTAGGCTTTCCGCCACATTCAAGTTAGTCAGAGGACCGTGAATAGTGAGAACTAGTGAACGTTGTTGGCTCGTGGGTGGTGACGGGTCGGCTGCGTTAAGAGCACCCGGGAGGCGTTGCACCGTTGTTTGTCCGTTTTTCTGTCAGCTTTTCTTAGCTTTCCGAGGCACCACGCACCGAGAAGGTGGGGGATGGGGCGAACAGTGCGAACGGCGCGCGCGCGTGGCTGCGAGCCTGGCTTGAGAGCAGGGGACCGCGCCGCCGCCTCTTGCGCTTGCGCGGACCTCCTTCATCACCCTTCCCCCATTTTTCGGCGCGGGCCCCAGCGCGCTCCCAACTGTACGCTGTGCGCACGCGCGCTGCTTCCTCCTGCACTCTGGCCGCCGGCGAAGTCCCTCTTGTATCCGCCTCTCGCCTCTCGCTTCTCGCCTCGTGGGCTATCTTCTTTCCAAGCCTTTGGGGTTTTGATAAACTAACTCACCTGCAACGAAGTGCACTGGGTAGGTGTTGACCCCCTTTTGCCTCGTCTTTAAACTCCATTCCGCAGCTGCACGCTACCTAAAGGTTTAGGCCTCATTTTTGTTACTCTTGAGGTTTCTGCAGTCCTTTGTAGCTGACCCCACCCTTCGTGTCGCGCGAAAGTTTTCTCCGGGGCTCAGCATTTCCGTCCCCCTGGAAACTTCTCTGTTTTGAAACGAACTCGCATTCTCGACTCTAGCAGTCGGTGCCTAGCTACTGTTTCCTGGCGTGGCGATTTGGCCCTGCCGTAACCGGCCCGAAAGAGCAGTCTACCAATATTGCGAGGGGAGCCTTTCTGCGTGATTCACTTACGTCGGGTCCGAAAAGTTTCAGCCAAGTTGGATCTACAAGCTAGTAGGGCAAATGGGTGGGAGTGGTGAGTTGAAATTATGCTTTTAGTTTTCATTTTAAACCCATAGGTTGGCCCCTCTCGCCTGAGATTGAACCCAGGGGTTCTGAACAGCTTTGCCATTTTTTTTTTTTTTTCCCCGTACCGGGGACCAAACTCGGGTCCTTGGGCTTGCCAGGCAGGCAGCGGAACCACTGAGCTAAATCCCCCGCTTTGCCATTTTTATTTTTAAATAATTTTGAAACAGTCTCAAATTTCAACGGGATCACAGGCGATGACCACCTCACTTTTAAGTTTTATCTCGTTAGGGTCAAGCAGTAATACTGGCAACTACTTTACTCCTTTCGAAATTTTTTTTTTAGTGTTTCAGAATTGAAAAGTTAAATTGAAAGCAAATGTGGCTAAAACGGATGAAAAGTGACTACTTAAGACTTGTATTCTGTTAACACAGTCTTTACAATATTTTTATGTGAAAACGATATTTTGTTTTCTTAGTTTTCCTTCCAGCTCGACTTTTAATTGGAAAGATTAGGTTACTGTTTAGAAAGTAAAGAATTTTACATTGGAAAAACTGCTCTACAAGTTTATATGCCTTTTGGTGTGATCCTAACCAATTTAGAGTAATTTGGTGGAAGGATTATGTGTCTGAAGTAGCTCATGGTAAACAAAGCCTGTCTAGTGGTAGGTCTTGTTTTAAGACTTTAACATTGTTACTTTGCGGTGTACTTATTTTCAGTCCGGCTTAATTTAGATAATACAGAGCTAAGAGGCTGTTTGGCTAGAACTCGATGGATTTCGAACAGTAGTGTTTTAGAACAAGGTTGTAGACTTTAAAATACTTCTCAGTGATAGGCTCATAGCTACTTGAATGTATTGAACAATTTACGTGGGCAACAAGTTGCAGATTAAAGAAGTCTTGTAGATTTTAAATGGAGAAAGTTTTTTCACTTCCACATAGATTTTTGAATTGGAAATTCCCAGAAATTACATTTGAAACCATCAGTTGAACAGTAGCTGAATTCTGGAGTGTAATTTTCAGTGCTTTGTTATTTAATAGATAAGTAGATAAGAGAATCAAGAAGAGCATCCTATTTCTGGGTAGTAAATGTTGAAGGTATAGTTGTGGATTAATTACCATCAGTATTACTTCAGTCATAAGCATTTAATATTTTGACTGTCCTCAAGACTGAAAAACAAGCCGGGGATTTAGCTCAGTGGCACTGTGCCTGCCTCAAAAGGGCAAGGTCTGGAGTTTGAGCCCCAAACCAAAAAAAATTGCTTCAGAAAGTGGCAAGAATGATGGGATAAATGTGTTCAAAGTGAGGGGGAATATTTTGAGGGGAATTAATGGAAATATGTCTTTTACTGTAATAAATTTTTTAGAAAATTTGAACATCCACTATACTTCATAATACTGTGTACTTGAATGTATTTATAGACTGGATAGGAATATATAGCCCTGGGTCCAACACCCTTCAGTGTGAAGTTTTCTATTTCTAGAGTATACTTTCTTAGGACTTCAGAAAACTATCACTTGGAGTGAAGAGACTTGGCAGTTGATTGTCTCTGGATGTATAGAAATTAAAGTTGGCCTTTGGGAATTTAGGGACTCTTTGCTAAAATGATTCTTGTACCACTTTTAAGGGTGAAATCAGTGATACTGACTTAAGTCAGAATAAAGTTTCATGCAGTATAGTAACTTAGAAGATCAGCTTTTTTTCTGCCCATTTGGGGGTTTTGATAATTTAAATACTAAATTTGTACTTTAGGAAACCTTTTATTTCTTTACCCAGGTCTGCTTGACTTTTATTTTGCTGCTTTTTACAGTTGTACACATTAGCTGTAACTTACTAGATTCTTGCTTCTTTTTCCTAGTCTGAATTTTGGATCTTTTTATTATTTTCATTTTTATTTATTTTTTGGTATTGGGGATCGAACTCAGGACCTTGTGCTTGCGAGGCAGGCGCCGGAATCACTGAGCTAAATCTCCGGCCCTGGATTTTTTAATTTTTGAATTAAAAATATATATATATGTATTTTTTTTGAGGCTGGTCTTGCTATGTATTCAGCACAGGCCTGGAACTCAAGATTCTCCTGCCTCAGCCTCCAGGAAGCTGGGTTTACAGGCGTGTGCCATCACTCCCAGCTTTAACTGTAGATCTCTTTAATCTCCCTAGTTGTAGGTCCACAGTTATTTAGAGGTTACCATTCTTGATTGATTAGTTTAAAGTTTAATCTCTTATTTCTTTGTATTCCCATTACGACTTGCTTTCTCTTGCCTGCCTGCCTGTCTTTTGGCAGGGACTCACTGTATAGTTCAACCTGGCCTTGAACTCAGTGTGAAGCCTGGGCTGGCCTCCTTAACTCGAAGTGATCTTCCTGGCTTAGCCTCCCCAAGTGCTGGGATTATAGGTGTGCACCACCATATCTGGCCTCCATTTTTCACATTGGATCATTACTTGGTAAAATTCATGGGACTTAGTTGTAGTGTGTATTTTTTGTTGTTTAAGCTTGTTTAAATTCTTTGTGGACATATATCGAGCTTGTATTTTCTAGTTTGAAGTTGTGCTTTCCTCATGGTGATCATTCTTTGTATGTAATGAATAATCATGAATATTTACAAAGCTAACCCTTTCAGTGTTAACTGCTTGATATTTTGAACCAAATTTAAATTTATTTACATACTAATGGTTAATTATATAGGAGGAGTATTGATTTCCAAAAGATAGGTATTTGGTATTTCATGTCTGTACGTGTATGAAAATGCTTTTAGGCATGTGGTTTAGAGTTACTGATATGGTTGTTACAGCATCCTTAAATCAGGTTTTAGATGAAACTATGAAAAGAAGTGCTGATAGAATAAGCAGAGCATTAAACTGTCATTATTTTAGATGTTATACACTCTTGCATTATATTTACTGCAGATCATATGTTTTCATGTGGTAAAATGGCATTATTAATTACCTAAGAATTTTCTGAATAGATGACAGCATATCTTTTGTTTTCTAAAGCCCAGATTTCTAAATTGAATTCAGGTATTTGAATTTAAAGTTTAAGTTGCTCTCAGTTATGTGATGCACTGCTGCATTGTGATTAAAAAACAAAAAATTTTTTTTTTTTTTTTTTGTACTGGGGATTGAACTCAGGATCTCGTGTTTGCAAGGCAGACAGAGAGCGACTGCGCTAAATTCCCCGCTCTTAAACAACAAATTTTTATGGTTAAAAGTTTGCTGTTCTTCTGACATCATTAGTGCCTTTATTAGTTTATTGCAGTGCCCAGTTTATGTAAATAGAAGGTGGTTAATTTAACATAAACATTTTTTATCTTTGTTAGGAACTTGAATTTAGAGTTTAATTTCTCAGAACATTCTCTTCAGGAAGAACCTTACAGTATCTTAAAGGCTTCACTGGCTTCTTGATCCTGCATAAGCCCAAGGTAAATAGCATTCATTTTTGTAGTTTTCAGTTTTGACTTACTTGATTGAGATGGAGTGATTAAAAGTGCTGTGGTCTGAATCTTTTTGAGGGGAGTGGCTTGTATGAAGTCAGATTTTAAGTTAGCTTTAGGAAAAAGATTCTTTTCATCTCTTCTGCTTCTAGGTGGTATGTCTGCTTCTTCCACTTCTGTAAACACCTCTACTAAGACTCAGAACATAAAGCCATTTTAAAATAAGACAAATGACCCTGCTACCTAACCCATCTTACCTAATGCAAACAAGAGGAGTTTCATAACTTAACTTTTTTCTCTCTACTTTGGTTTTTAAGGTAATTAAAATTAATTCCTTATTATTGCAAACACTGTATTACATGAATTACATGTATTAACTCATTTAGTCCTCTACAGCTCTTTGAAGTAGGTGCTGTAGTTTTTTTTTTTTTTCACTTCACATTTGAAACAGGTTTAGAGAGATTAAGGAATTTGTGCAAGGTCACATAACCAGGGAAGTGGCTTAGCCTGGATTTGAACCAGGTAGTCTAAATGCAGAGGCTATAATTGTAGTTTCTTCTACCCAACTATATTTTTGTTAGGGCAGGAGAAACAGTCCAAATTACTTTTGGACTATCGATATGCTTTTTGTTGTTGTTTTGCCTTGTTTTGAGACAGGGCCTTACTGTGTAGTCTAAGGAAGCCTTGAACTTATTGTGTAGCCCAAGGTAGCCTCAGATTCACTCAATTCTCTTGCATCAGCATTTTGAGTACTGGGATTATAGGTATGTTTTCTTACCTTTTTACTTTAAAGTTTCTTGTATGCCTGTTTAAAAATTTAAGTCAAACCAGTTGTGGCACATGCCTATTATTCAACTACTTGGGAGACAGAGGCAGGAGGATTACAAATTTGAGGGCAGCTTAGGCAGTTTAGCCGAGACCCTGTCTCAGAATAACAAAAGTCTGAGGATGTAGCTCAGTGCTTTCTGGGTTCCATCCCCAGTACTACAAGCAAAACAAAACAGAACAACTCATTCCGCTGCCTGCCTTGAAAGCTCAAGGTCCAGAGTTCGATCCCCGGTACCAAAAACAAAACTCAAACTTGTTTTTTGGTACCGGGGATCGAACTCAGGACCTTTGCTTGCGAGGCAGGTGGCTGCACCACTGAGCTAAATCCCCGGCCCTCAAACTTTTTAATGAAAAGTAAACTTGGGCCCGGGATTCAGCTCAGTGGTGCTGCCTCCTGCCTCGCAAGTGCAAGGTCCTGAGTTCAATCCCTGATACCAAAAAAGAGGTTGAAAAGTAAACTTGCTAGGTTCTGAGGAATGCATCCATTCAAGTTAGTTATGAAATACTTACCGTGTTCATATACCTTAAGTGTGCTGTCCTGGAGATACATCATTGGATAAAAAATGCATCATCCTTGACTTGCAAATTTTCAGTCAG